ATTATGGTTTAATTTGACTACAGATCAGAATTTTATGAATTCTAATATGTGCTAAAAATACAGGCTTCCTGCATTTAACAAAAACTTTTTCCTAGGCCTATGGCTCTATTGTTGCCTACGTCTAAGCTGCGTTGATTCAGGTTATATTCGAGAGTAGTAAATTCCCACTGTCGCTGTGGATATTTAGTATGCACGTATGCAAATTTGCAGTTAGTTTGCTGGCATTTTCGGCAGCCCGCCTGGGCCAGCCGCCTTTCATTATGGCTGTTAAATGTAATGCATTTTGGATGGCTCTGTACATGCGAATTGCTTTGCATGCGCACTCTGGTTTGTCGCTTGATTCGCTGAAAGGCGATTTTCAATTATTGGACTTTGTTTTTAGTGCAATTGTCTGAAGCGCAGCAAGAGTTGGCGACTTCGGCCCCAAGTCGAGTTGCCGTTGGCTCCTTTAAATGTTTATGCGCTGTGCCGGCGTCGAACGATGCGCCCAGCGGGCAGCAGCAAGTGGGCGTGGGTGGGTCACGGCAAGGGCTATGGAGATTAGACACAGACAGTGTGAGTGTGTGTTGGTGTGGGTGGGTGTGTGTGTGTGTTTGTGTCGGAGTGTTGTTAATAATGGCGCTACATGCAGCGCACATGTTTGGTCCTTGTCAAAGGATTTTTTGTTCGGACTGTGGCCCAATCTAAGCTAATTAAATTTTGGCCACGGCGCTTCGGGTACCGAGCAAAGAGCTCGAAAGCAAACGCAAAAGCAAAAAGGCAAGGCGAACCAAAGGTCAAAGGCCAAAGGGCATAAGCTAAATGAGCTGCAGCAGCAATTTAATTAAAAATTTGCTTACACACATGCACGCACACACACACACACACACACACATACACTATCCGCCCCCTCCTGCGTCAACGATGGCCCCAAAACAGGATCAAAGGATCAAGCGCTATCGCTGATGCGGCAACGGCGACCACAAGCTGCTGCTGCTGCCGCAGGAGTAGAGTAAGACGCGCCGAAAAACCCTTTTGCCTAATGCGCTGTTAATGCGTGCAATACACACACGCCCACACATACCCACACACACACACACACACACACACATGTACATACTAAGATAATCCCCATTTTAGACTAATTAAATTGTCAAATATTTGGCGTGGGCGCGTCTTCTTGCTATTGGGCGTGGCAGAGCAAGCAAAACTGTGCTCAGCGCTTCAACTAATTTGCAGCTAATTAAATGCTCGCCAGCTGCGCGCCAGCAGCAGGAGCAGCAGCAGCAGCAACAGGACACAGTCGAAGGACGACAAAAAAAAAAAAAAGGAAAAGGAAAATAGAAGGTAACGGGTTAGCCAATTCAGGTAGCTGGGCCGGAATAGTGCGCGATGCATTGTGCACACGGGGTTTTGGTCAGCCAAACAATATGCTAACCGGGTCAGAGGTTTATGGCCCATTTCCATGGCCCTCAGATCAATGTCAATTGCCAAAAGCAGCGACGCAGCAGAAAGAGTTAAAAGGAGTGAGCCGAGCACGCTGCACTCATAAAATCTGTCTATCCTTTTCGCCTCCGCTCCTGCTGCCGCTGCTGCTGCTGCTGCTGCTGCTCCTGTTGTTTGTTGTTTATTTATGCAGTCGGCGCATTGTGTGGCCAAAGCAAACGGTGATTGCCTCGCGCTCGCACTCGCTCTGGCTCTGGCTCTGGCTCTGCTCTACTCATCCTTAGGCTTTATGGTCCCGTTCGATCGGGTCTGCGGCTCCGCGAACGGCAACCCTTAATTCATTGGAAATTTTTCGGCGCTGCTCTGCACTGCACAGCCCACTCTGTGCCCCGTCCCGCTACTTTCCCCGCCCACCGATTCGAGCCGGTGCGCTTTTACAACTTGTCAGTCATTCGAACAAAACTAATTTGCATGTCATTTCTTTAGCACACTTGAAAATTTGAGCATTTTGCACGAAGTGGCGAAGGGACATGGGACACGGCATGGCACGGGGGTGTTTTGCTGCCACAACTATTGAATGAGCCTTGCCCAAGCACTGCATCGGTAAACTACTCTGCAAAGCCCCTAATTGAACCACGGAACCTCAAGCCCTTCTTGTGCATTTCGACGCAAGGACGACGGCCCGAAACTCAGCCGTCAATCCAGATGCCAAAGCGGACTCATCTTTAAGAGTCTCCAACGGTTTATTTAACTTGCATTTTAGATTTCTACAAATATCGAAGTCAACGTATTTCAGATAGATGATATCGAGTCTTGGAGCTGGAATTATTTATAGTATAAAACTGATTCAGGTACACTTATAGCTGACTGAAAAAAACTTTTATTCATTGTAACTTGGTATACATCAATATACTTCATAGTAGGACTGGATTAGAAAATATACAGTGATTAACATTGATGTTCAGATTTATTTTTATTTTTTACTTCAAACGCTCATAAAAAACTTATATAGTATATGACTAATTCGTATTGACTTAAACAATCCCATAATAAAATATATTGAATATAATGTACCATAATAAGATAATAATATAATAATAATAATTGTCTATGTATTTCTAAGACTTTTTTATAGGGCTATATTTATTGCTCTCTCTCTCTCTCTCCCTCCCTTTCTCTCTCTCTCTCTCACCCTCTCTCTCTCGTTCTCCCACTTTCTCTTTCGCCCTTTTGTCTCTCTCCCCTTCTCTCTCACTTGCACTTTCTCTCTCTCTCTCTCTCTCTCTCTCTCTCACTCCCTTTCGCAAACTCACTAACTTTGTCTCTCTCTCTCTCTCTCTCTCTCTTGCAATCATAAAAGTGCCAAAAAGGATTTTTTCTTTTTCTTCCTTTCCTTCTCTCCTCTTACCCTTCTTCATCAATTCTATTTTAGAATTTTTATTATATAAATTTTGTATTTGGATTTTGATTTTTTTTATATAACTAAGCGTTTATATATTTCTAAATATATCAACTTGATCAGATTTCCATCTTAAATAACTGTGTGTATATTCGTTGTATAGATCTATTCAAATACTATTTCTATTGACTGACATTTTTATGTTTTACTTAATCTATTATTTTGAATAAAATGAGTATATGGGCTTAGTGCAAGGTCCATATCGCTGTCTATCCGCCCATCCATTTTTCTGTCAGTCCGTCCGTCCGTCCGACTGTCCGTCACTTTATCCCTTTATGCAAACCCATTGCCCACTATTGAAGCTATAGATTTGATATTCGGAACATATACTCGTATATACTCTGGAATTATTAAGTGTCAAAATATTCCCTAACCGCCCAGTAAGGGCGTGGCAAACTGGAGAACTCAGAAACTATGGTAATTGAAGTGCTAGAGAGTTGAAATTTCAAATGCTCGGGTTCATATCTCAAAGAGATATGGTGTACATACCTACGCTCATTGGATGCGTGGGCAAAGCTCTAATTTTTACACCTTTACTGTTAAGAACTCAAAATTGATTAATATCATTTAACGATATAGTAAATTTATATCAATTGGGGGCGTGTTGAAACGAAAAAAGGATCTGGCTGGCGAGTATTCTGCAGTCGGTAACAGCCGACTGTACGAGCTAAGTCGCCAATTCAATAAGAATCAGCCCGCATTACCGACAACCTCGCTGCGGCCCTGTACATTATATATGTATATGTAGATATAATTTCGTTAGATGCTATAGATGTATACAAATATAGGACTGTCTTGACTAGCTGAATGAAGAACTGACTAATCGAAAGCCCATGAAAGGAGATGTTGCTAGAGATAGGAAGCTAGCTACGAGTAGAAATGAAAGTCGGTTGGGTTTCTTGGAGCGCATACATTTTACTTGCTTCATTTGCGCGTCCAACGATAACACGTGCACTCGAAGGCAATTTTGGATTGGAAAAGGAATTGTGGATTAAAATGTGCAAACAAAATGAGACACGCCAACAATTAGCGAATTTTGTGCGAATAAGAAAACCGAGATCAGAGTGCTGAGCGTCAGCAACGCAGCTCCTCCAACTCCTGCAGATCCAGTGCCCATCTCCTCCAGCATCCCCAAGAGCGGCAGCACGGTATGCGGCGGGCTCAGCGTCTGTCTATATGACATCGCCGTCGGGCTCCGGTGGCGACGGTGAGGGGGCGTGGTGCTGTGCCAGCTTCCTCTCGTAGGCATCGATCTGGGCGGCTATAGACGCCAGCTGCTGCTGTATGAAGTCGCATAGGCGCAATATCTGTTGAACGCTGCGCTCGCGACGCTGCTCGAGAGTCTCACGTCTTGGTGGCTGGATCACTCGCTGCGGCGGCGGCTGTGCCGGCTCCCCCTGCATGCCGTCGCCGGCGCCGCGCAAATGCGGCGCCAATGGCGCCTCAGCAATGATCTCTGCATCGCCGCCGCCCATATGGGCCATGTGATTGGCGGGGGCCACTGTGGGTATGCCCACCACATGATTATTATCGCCAATGGTGGCAACATCACCAGCCTGTCCCTCATTGCCCATCGCACCCCAGCCGCCGGCCAGGTGCCTCCTTGGCAGCGTCTGTCTTGCATAACGCTCCATTTGGGTGCGCAATGGGTTTGTCATTGGCATTGGCATTGGCACTGGCACTGGCATTGTCATTGGCATTGTGACTGGCATTGGCATCGGCTGTGGCATCGGCATCGGCTGTGGCATCGGCATCGGCTGTGGCATCGCCAACGGCAACGTCATCGGCATCTCCATGTGTTGCATATAATCAAATATGTTTTGTCTGTGGCGGCGGCGTCGGTTGATCAAAATGTGACTGTAATTGTAGAGGTTGTTGTTGTTGTTGTTGTTGCTGTTGCTGCTGTTGTAGTTAGTGTTGTACGTATTGCTGTGGGTATTGGTGTGGTTGTTGTTGTTGTTGTTGTCGCCGCTGCTGTTGTTGTTGCTGCTGCTGCTGCTGTTGTTGTTGTTGTTGTTGTTGCTATTGGTAGCTGTGTAAATGTTTCTGTTGTTGTTGCTGTTGCTGTTGTTGCTGTTGTTGCTATTCGACGCCATTGCTATTTTGTGGGCGTTTTGAATTTTAAAACCGAAACGGAAAAGTTTTGCGAGCGCCAAGCGAATTTCTAAAAGTTTGAAGCGTGCTTGTAACCCGATCTGTATGCCGATGAAATAATACTGAACAACATTGACAAACATTGACATTAGCCGGCCTTTGAATTGAACGCTCCAGCCACGCCTGCTCACATTTATCACAGCATCTTGGCGCTGCGGCTTTTAATGGCAAATGGCAAACATTAGGGAATCGCAAATTAAAATAAATGCAATATTTATTTAGAATTTAATATTAAATATTTTCTCATGTTTATTAAGATTGGGTGCACATATACCCTGTTTGCGGAATGAAGAGTAAGTATGTTGCATGGACAGCCAATTGCAGGTGTTAGACTAGCGCGAAAGAGACGGGGAGTAGAGATGGCATCATGAGTATATATAGAGAGAGAATTATAGCCTAATCATTGCAAATAATTCATATTTAAATATTCAATTTTTTTAAATAAATAAAATTTTTGCATTCCTTATACCACAGAATAAAAAAAACAGTAATATAGAATTAAATAAAAAATAAAA